GGGGGGGGGAGGGGGCTTTTCTCAGCGGGTCCGTGAAAGTTTCAGCCACACCACGACCACCAAGGCGGCCTACACGACCTGCACCGGCGCTGCTCTCGCTGGGACCCCACTCGCTCTTCGCTCCGCACCACATGCATTTTCCCACCCACCTGGCCCAGCTGTGGCCCGGCGCCTGCCTTGGTGGTGGACTCCACACGCGAGCGGTGGCCGCGGCGCGCTCGACCTGGCCTGGCCTGGCCCTCCCGCGGCGCGGCGGTCGTAGAGCTGCTGAACCAGCGGGACCCGAGGAAGAGGGCCGGGCGATGTGACGAAAACGGTGGGTGGGATGATAGGAAACGGTCGTAAAGCGGTCGTAATCGCTGTACAAAGCGCAACGCGCGGCAGCCGAGGCGCCGCGGGGGGGATGCGGCCGGCGGGGGCGTCGCAAGCGGAGGTCTGTATTATTTTCTGGATGTTTCATATATACAGTTCCATCGGTATCTCTCGGCGCTGCTTTATTGTGGCACAGGCGCCGAGTTTAGCCCGGCGGTGTGCGACAGACGCTTTTGCTGTTGTTGTTGCTGCCGTGAATGCGGCGTGTGTGTGCGCTCTAGGTAAAGTTGGCGCTTCCATGATGCGGCGCCACGCCACGCCACTATCTCGTCTCGGCTGTTTTCCATCCGGGACGTGACAAGCGGCAGCTCGGTCCATATCACCACGGACTTGTGATATAAATATTGCAGCCTCTCAAATAACACCCCCCTCTCTCATCTTCCACACACGACTCCCTCCCCTCCGCCCCCTAATCTCTGCTTGGTTGGACCTTATCTTCTGCAAATGTTATACATTTGCGTGTTGCAATAATATCACGACTTTAGTACAGTACTCCATGCGTGGTGCATGTATCGTATCAGGTGGCTGATGGGCACCGATCGACGGCGGAGCGATACTGTCCCGCATATGCAGTCGTGCGTGCCGGTTTGCCTATCGTCTCTGACCACGGCGCTCTTGGTATGCCCGCGAGAGTGGTATGTAGTACTAGGCATTGTTATAGACAAAGGGGCTGATCCCTGGTCGCGAAAGCGATGTGCGTTTCCGTTGTTTTGTGATTGTGTTATGTTGTCAATTAACTTAATTATCATGGGGAAGTAATTTTCAACTTCACTCCTCCTTAGTTTTTTTGTACCCATTTTGCCCATTTACTCGACGCCGCTCCTCGCGCGTACGAAATATACCTCAGTTCTACCATGCCATTCTCATGCGCAGGCTTGCCAACACACAGACTGCATCATAAGGCGTTTTTAAACAAGCGCTCATTTTAACCTTGACCTCAGTTATCTTTCCAACGTTAATAATTGCTCAAAAATTAGTTTCGCAGCAATTTTTGTTGTACTCTTATCAGAACAACATATCTCTGACTCAACGTTAGCCCTATAAACTTTACCATTGGGAAGGTTGGATCCCCATAAGTTGGGCCGTGATCTCCCAAACTCCTGGGGGCTACTCGACTCGATTGTTAAGGCTTCGCCTCTTATTTTTATTCAGATTCTTTATTTCTTATTGCTTTAAGGCTCAGCCAATTATATTTTGGAAAGAAGCGCACATTTATCAGCGGTATTTTTGTTTTTGTTTTAATTAAACTATTTACTCTACCCTTTTTAATTGTGTTAAGTGACATGACCACAGGGTAAAAACAATGTTGGATTTTTTCACGAAAACTGGAAAACTTTGTGGAACTTCACTTGTTTTGGGAAAAATCACGCAAAATTATGGGAATTTTCTTCATTCTTTGATGAGATTCCTTCAAAATCTGAGGAGTTTTCTTCAAACTAACGGATTTCCTCAAAGTTTTCCCCTTTTTCCTGAAAAAATCAGGCATCGGTTTTCTACCGTGGCACCTTTCTTTCTCTCTGACATCGGCTGATCCTACCCTCTCGAGTAAATGAAGCTCGTTAAAAACAGAGCACCACTCCCGAAAAAAAGAAACACAACAAAAGACAAACACACGTGCGGAATGTGAATCGTCTCGTCATCCCCATTGCTAACTACTGCCGACCTTTCTCTTGTCGCTCTGGCGAGCAGCTCGCCTCCTCACTACTACTCACTCCGAGTGGCCTTTCAGCAGCACCAGCATCTTGGAGGGGATCACGCTGCCGCGGCCCGGCATGGTGCCAGCCCGTGACCTGCTGCTCGTCCCCGTCGATTGAGATCCTCGCGGTATCGCGGTATCCTCCGGCGGTGGCGGGGATCCGATATGGCTCGAGCCGATATCCGGATCCGATATTCAATGCGGCGCCCCGGATATCCCCCGCTCGTTATCAGGGGCGCTCAGGTGAGACCCAGCAGGACCCCGCGGTCGCGCGCGGCGCGGTGCGCGTACCCAGACTGTCGGGGCGACGGTGAAGAAGGTCCTGCGGGCCCCGGCCCGGCCCGACCCGACCCAGCGCGGATACGGAATACATCTCATTGCGTTAGCGGGGACCGCCTAAGTGGCGCGCGCAAAACAGCCAATAGGTAGAGGACTGCTTTGCCGATTTGTTACGAATCGGTGGGAAATAAATGTGTAAAACATAAAAAAAGTTCGAGAAGCTGTTTGGTGAACTGCGACCCCTGCCGGTATGGCGACGTTGGCGTGGTGGGGCCCGGGGGTCTGCGTGTCGTCGTCCTCTATAATACGGGACTGTTGAAGGAAGAACCCTATTGCTCGTGTTATTGAACACCCCTAAACACAGAGTTCTTGGACCAAGTATAAATTGTACTTGATCCTTGATTATCGCAGTACATATCACTAATTAATTATTGAATCAAGATAAATTAATGAACTCGAAAAATCAAGGATCAAGTATCAAGGCACTTGTTCCAAGGAAGCAAATTTTTCGGGTAAAGATATACGATTCTAAAGATTTCAAAGGGAAAAGAATTTCCATCCCTATTCAGTATACGCCCTGCAGCGGGGAGGGGCGATTGTTTCCGGGCGGCGTGGCTCGTGTCGACAGCAGCCCCGGCCTGGAGTCACGTACAGCCCCGCTCGCACCTGGGCGCCTTATCTCTTGCGCTCGAGTTATCGCCAGTTTCCCCGGCGGTGCGGAAGGCACGATGCGGCGGCCAGGGCGGCGCCGGACAACGGCGGACGGAGGAGCTGCCCCGCGCGTGGCCGCGCCGCAGCCTCAACGGCTTATTACCAACAACACATCCTCGCGAGCGTGACCACATTGTGGACGCACGTCCCGTCGTTACGAGCAAGCAAAAAAAAAACAACGAATTTGCCTAAACAACTAAATAAGTTTAATTCTGAGCATTTTTAGGAGATGATACGCAGTAATCAACAGCTTGTACTCTCGTAAAGTTCGCAAGTTAAAGCGTAAAGTTCATCAGGTTTTTTTTGCTGTTCAAGAAAAATGTTTGCCTGATAAGTATACGCCTTTGCCGATGAGGCATTTTCCTTTCACAGCCGTATATGCGCGTTTTAACATTTTCGCTTCCGCATCGAGTCCATATGGTTTCCACTAGCTTTGCAGATTCCGTTCCGAGGCGCCGCGTTTGTTGAAATGGAGGAGAGGGGGGAGAGGGAATGGGGAGGAGCGAGACGAAAGTCGAGGAAAGGACGGTTGGCGATTCGACTATATGCCGCGTCGACGATCCGCTAATAACCGCAGGGGATCGGATCGGAGCGGATTGGAGGGAGGTATAGCTGCGACGCGCGGCGAGACTCGAGACTCGAGGCATCCCATACTATCCATCTCACTATCGGGACAACGCGGCCGCGGCGGCGGCGAGCCGTGTCACCACCGGAGTGGTATCGGCAGCACGCTGGCTATGCGGAACATGTCGGCAGAACGGAGCAAGGGCGGCGGCGGGGCGGGACGGG